TATAGTGCATAATAATCAAACAAGTGGAGTCTTGCTGTAATGATAATGTAATGTGATTTACAAATAATTTAAAGAAAAGAAAATTCTGACTCAAAATCAAAAAACCCTACAAAGTGTAAGGGTGACGTTCAAACCAAGCTGGAAAAGGTGCATATTAGAAGATTGTGGCTGCCCATTACATGCGGAGCCACTATTGACATATGTAATAAAGTGACCTTTAGAAGTGTGGTTCTGTAGGAAAATGATGAACAATCAGCAGCTTAACTATTGTAGATAGGTCTTTGAACAACCTCAGTTTGGAGAAATATTAGCTTCTCTCCAGTGGCTCCCTGTCAAATCCAGAATTGAATTTAAAATCTTATTTCTACCCTACAAAGCTCTCAACAACCTAGCTCCATCTTATATTTGAAATCTTATCGTTCCATATTTTCCTAACAGAGCACTTCGCTCTCAGACTGCAGGCTTACTCGTGGTACCTAGAGTTTCTAAAATCAGAATGGGAGGATGGACTTTCAGTTATCAGGCTCCTCTCTTGTGGAACCAACGTCCAGTTTCTGTCCATGAGGCTGACACGTTGTCCAGTTTTAAGACTGGGATTAAGACTTTCCTTTTTGGTAAATCTTATAATTAGGGTCGGCTTGTTATGCTGCCTTAAGCTTATACTACTGGAGGACAAATTGATCTCATTTACTTAAATTAATTGTTAAAATTTAATAGTTTTCATTTGATACTATTTCTATTTTAACATTTGATTCTGGACCTGCCATTGTGTATCTGTTCCTACCAAACTCAGCCGGTCGAAGCAGATGGCCGCTTGTCCTGAGCCTGGTTCTGCTAAAGGTTTTTTCCACATGAGGGAGTTTTTCCTTTTCACTGTCGCCTTCATGCTTGCTCAAGATGAGAGTTTTGTGATGGCGTTAAATTCAAAGCAGTCTGCACCTCAGATAAATAATGTTAACGTATTATTTTATATATAAATGTTTCTGTAAACTTATTTTTACATATGAATGTTTCTGTTCAGTGCCCTGACATGACTTCTTTTGTGACTTGGCGCTATATAAATAAACCTAATTGAATTGATTATAAATAGTTCTGACTGGACAAGCTAACAACTAGTCCAAAAGAAGCCAAAACTAAAGTGGACTACTTTCCTCTCGTAACAGGTTCAGTGTCAAAAAAGTTTCAGCCGTTCATGCGAACACTATTTAATAAACATTTACACTTCTTTCAGTTTCACAATACATATTAAATTACAATTTATGATTACTTGTAAGCTCAAGTAGCGATAGCAACAGCTAGCTGTAGCTAACTGGAGCGCAGCCTGGACCACTTACATATTTTTGTCAGACAAAACATGTAATGGCAATTTGACAAGGACATATTTTTTTTTAAACATGAACCACTATGATAGTTTTGAAATTTGAGTTGTTTTAAGACAATAGATTAGTTTTGCTTGAACTAACCATTACATTCTCAACCAGGATGAATATCTAACCAGGAAAATCACTGTGGAAAAAAAAATCATATGTTGCTGCTGATCTGTTTCATGTTGCTGTGTTCATACGTGCTCATCTGCTCACACAGACTCAGGTTCGTGCTGCTGTTCGGCGTAATGTTTTTATGCTATTAGTGCTTAGTGTAAATATTGTTGATGTTTTTCTTAGTTCATATTTTAGATCTTATTGCTGTTTTTCTTTTACATTTTATTGCTGGATGTAACTGGGATCCTGTGTACATAATTTCGTTCCACCACATGTACCACAGGGGGTGCGAATGACAAATAAAGTACCCTGAATCCTTGAGTTCTCAGAGTTAAACCATATTTTTCCAAATTGAGTCTGTATATTGAGCTATCTAAACAAATAAGATATTAAATGTTAAAAACCTTTTCGCAAGCGCTCACTTTAAAATAACTATCTTTTCAATAAATGTAAAACAAAAAAGCTAACAATGCCAACAATTTCACAGTGCCAAGATGTCTTTCTGTAACCAAACCAACTTTCCTGGCTGAACAGTCATAATTAAGAAACACAGTATTTTTAGAACAACCATAATAAACTATTTTATGGTTTGCCACTAGTTTAAACTAATGGCTTCTTGATTTGAAATCCAAACAGTTTTCAGTGGTCAGTGTTACGTGCCCCTGTCACTTTTCATGAATGAACTTGTGCCTAATTGATGCATCGTACTTCAGTTCTGACTGGCTTGTGAAACTAAAAGGAACAAGTTCTGCCTGCTAAACAAGCAAGTGGACAAAGAGGAGAGGCTGGAGGTCTGATGTCTGTTGGTTGCTGGTTCCATAACCAACTTGGCGCTCACTTCTGCTCCTTCCTTTATAGATGCCTGCCTTGCACTGTGTATTATTTGATAGATGCTTATTATCTGGGTTTGGGAGTTACTGGCAGTCCTGTTTACTGGGTTTTTGGTTTGTAGGGCTAGTGCCTGGACCATAGGGTTAGGGAGTGACCTGAATCTGACTATCAGCTGCTGGCTGGTTTGAGGTTTCTCCCTCCTCAGTTTATTTTGTCCAGGATTCTCAATTCCCATTCTGTCCTGGATGATGTGTTAATTAGAAGTCATTTTAAATGTTACAGTTGTTTGGACTTCACAAGTTATGCATCCCGAACAACTCAAAGACATCCTGTACCATAACACTCTGACACATTTGCGCTATGAAACATTTATCATCAATTGCTTTCAGTCCTGACCTGAACCTGCTCCTGTGTCCACTGATCCAGGTTGACAGACTTGACCTTTGAGATGTGGACCCCTAGGTTTCGATGAATACCAGCGCAGCGGATACAAATGAAGATGCCTAAATTCCAGGAAGCCCATCTTGGACCTGGGAGAAACAGATGAAGGAAGTGCCGGAATAATGGTCAGTCTAAGATTTATAAGAGAAGTAGATTATATGGAAGAAAAGACAAAGTGATGAGGTTAAAAATAATGATAAAAAGAAAAACTCATCATATAGTGTATTAATACAGGAAAGTCTGAAACCTCAATTATGAGTTTGAATCCAGCAGGGAACGCATCTATTCTTGTGTAAGTCATGACACATAATGAGATCCAATACTGTGCAAGTGTTAGCCTACAAAACTGAGTCTGAGAGCAGGAAGGACAAAAACATTCACACACACACATTCAGTCTGGATACCTGCGGGGATGATTACTCATTTGGCCATCAGCCTGCATGCATGTGTGGGAGCAACATTTTCTGAACAGACCATTTTGTTCCTGCCATATGGATCTAAATGGACCCATTTCATGTTTGTGCCATCTCCTTGTGTGGCATAGTCATTTTAGGCCTATTGGTTGTGTTTTTTGTGTATGACTGGTTCCTATATTTATACAGAGCTATTAAAAGCATCGTCTGAACAAGTAAATCTGAGGGTAGGGAGGAAAAACAACAGCGATGTGCTATTTTTGGTCCAAGGACAGGCAACTATCCTCTACAAAAAGAACCATCAGCCTCAAAGAGACTACAAGTTCAGTTTCAACACACAGTTTCACAGTTTCTCTCTAAATGTCAGCTAAACAAAAGAGATGATAGTGGACTTCAGGAGACAGCATGGAGGCCAGCATCTACATAAACAACACTGAGGTGGAGCAGGTTAGCAGCTTCAAGTTCCTCAATGTTCACATTACAGAGAATCTGTCCTGAACATTACATACAGACACTGTGGTAAAGAAAGCCTGACAAAGACTCTACTTCCTAAGAAGAATAAGGAAGTTTGGTACGAACACCAGCATCCTTACAAACTTCTATAGGTGCAACATTGAGAGCCTGCTGACAGGCTGCATCACAGGGTGATATGGGAACTGCACCAGTCAGAGCTGGAAAACACTACAGAGGGTGGTGCAAACCAGGGTCAAATTAACACTTCACTGTACCCTGGGCAACAATCTTCAAGGGCCCCATCATCACGACCCCAGAATCACCATAATCTTGTCACGACCCCAGAATCACCATAATCTTGGCAAATACAGAAAAAAATACCATAATATACAGTAAATATACTTCAAATTCTAACTATCAAGTGTATTTTGATGTATAAAACTCCAAATGCTCATAGAACTATAAATGCTACTATGGCCTTTTGTTGACACAAATCATCAAGACTGCGTTAAGTTGTCAGAAGCATTTGTAATGTGGGGGTGGGGAGGGGTCTGGGGGTCCTCCCCCAGAACATTTTGAATAAAGTAGATGCCATTTCCTGCATTCTGGTGTGTTTTAACGGGTTGTTAAATAACTAGTTTTGCCTACACAAGTAACACTTGATTCAATAACTATTTTAGAGTTAATGGCACAACAAGACCTGCCTGACCAACAGCTCTCCTTGTGTGAATAGAACATGCTCCACTCCTCTCCTCTCACACATATTGTCACAATCTAAGAAACATAGTGTAGCCTAAGTTAAGTTTTAGGTAGAAAAAATCACTAGCCAATATGAAACGATAATAATAATCACTCCTCCTTACTAATGCTCTAGCATAAACTAATATGATCATCATCCATCAAGTTTAATAGTAGCTTTAAATACATAATTAAAACTCCAGTAGTGGGCTAGGTCTTCTGCAACAATACCCAGTTGTAGGGTCAAGAGACAAGCATGTTACATTAACTGGATTAATCTCAAACTATCACAAACTAAAATCTCAAATCTTCTTTTGATGCTGATGCCATTTTATTTTATGTGGATAACTTGTGTTCATCTTTCTCTGATGCCATATATAGTTGTACTTACAGCAAAGTATCACATTCACTGTAATAAGTAGAGGGATAATGAGCCCTCCTTCCCCTGTTTTATGAATCATTTTAAGTCATATTATTCTTCATTAAGTAGATTAAAGAACTGCAAAACTGCTAGAATCATCTCACAACAGATAAAAACGCACGGTTTTAAGTTTCTCGTAAAGTCGCGCTCCTTTGTTTTTTTATTTATTTAATTTTTATGTTTATATTTTTTTATCTTTCATTACTTTGTGAAATGTAGTTATGACACCCTTCACGACTTTGTATTTGTATCTTGTTGCATTGTTCTGTTTTGTGTTGTTAATAAAGTTCAAGAAAAAAAACTTGATGGGCTGCATTTCTGCATGTAAGGGGCGTTTACCTTTGAGACAAATTGGGGTTGTCGATTGGTCAGTTGCTGACACGCCTACTGGATTGATTGACAGGTCGTGTCCAGGATCCGACTCGGTGCAAAAACAAAACAAAACAGAGAGCTGCAGCGGCCGGCGCTGGGAGGAGGCCGGGCAGCCCAAATGCAGCACGGCAGTCTCCATGTGCAACGCAGGGCTCGGGCTGACAGTTTAAGCAGGAGATAACCAGATATTTTGCTTGTGCCCTCACTGCCCTGGGCCCCGTAGAGATCGTATGCCCCTGGGCACTTGCCCATATGGTTAATCCGGCCTTCGTGCAAACAACAGAGGACATCACTGGTAGCAGTCTCCACACCATCCAGAACATCTACCACAGCCGATGTCTGCGTAAAGAACGCAGCATCATTAAGGACCACACCCACCCAGCACAAGGACTCTTCCATCTACTACACTCAATAAATGAGCCATCGCACATGAAAAGACTCAAAGACAGTTATTATCCACAAGCTGTCAGATTACTGAACTATTGACAATAACATTGCACCAAGCCACATCTGTGACACTTAATGTGTTTATTGCTGCGGTATCATGTATGTCACTACCATACCATCATAATTCATCTCAATGTTACTCACTACCTGTGTAGCATATGTTAGTTATGTACAATTTATATAATGTGCATTTTGGCTTACATTACTACTTGTGTAATACTTATTTATACTAATTAATCCTACTTGCATTGTTATATCCTACCATGTTGTTGTTTACTATATTTCTTTTGAACTTTGTAAAATATTTATTTTCACTTTTGGCACTTTATTTTGTACTTTTATTGCAAGCTTTAGTATTTCTTGTTTTTTTTAGTGAGTCAAATCGGTTCTTCTCATCCTAAACATTTCATTGCATTGTTGACCTTGTGTTAACCTGCATTGACAAATAAACAGTATAACTACCAGTACTTCTGTTCACCCCATCCCTCAATGATCTCTGCTTATGGCAAGCCCTTTTAACATAAAATCGGATTCACCACGCTTACATTCCAGATATCTGAAACTGAGTTTTGACTAGACTATTGGTTATTTAAGATATCTTGAATTGCATTTTGACTAGTCAAAATACTCATTTAAGATATCTCTAATTACATTCTGACTAGTCATAATGACGTCAGATTTACCATTGAGTTGTATGGAGGCTTCAATTCAAGATATCTTAAACTGAATTTTGACTAGTCAAAAATACAGTTCTAGATATCTCTAAGTTAATTTTGACTAGTCATTATTTGCTTTCAAGATATCTCACTTTTAGTTCTGACTAGTCATAATTACAATTAAAGATATCTTAAATTACGTCATTATTCAAGATATCTTAAATGTATTTGTAGATATCAAAAATGAAGTTTTGACTAGTGCAAATTAAATTGTAGATATCTTGAAAGCAAATAACGACTAGGCAAAACTAACTTACAGATATCTAGAACTGTACTTATGACTAGTCAAAATTCCTTTTAAGATATCTCAAAATGAATTCAAGATATCTTGAATATTTTATCATGTAGACGGCTTTTCTATTCAAGATATCTTGAATTCACATTTTGACTAGTCAGAATGACATTCAAGATATCTTGAATTGTTATTCTGACTAGTCAAAACGTCACATATTTACGTAGCATTTTGGCGGAAAAATCATAAAGCATTGTAGCCTTTTTATTTTATAATCTGCTAAATCAGGTCAGTCCAACACAACGCTCGTATTTTTAACATGATTTTTAACGCGGCAGCTCGGATTATTTATTGTATCTGCAACAAGAAGACTTTTTTGCGACGTCTTTTTCGCGACAACCGGAAACCGACACTTCCTGCTTTGCGAGTTTTTGCACTAAGGACCAATGTCTCTCTTTTCAACATCTTTGCTTAATTTGCCAACTTTTCTTTCACTGCTGAGGAGGAAATCGCAGCGGCGAATTCTCGAACTAATAAACTTAAAAGGATAAAAGTTTTTCCATGAAGAAAATCTCCACAGCTGTCAAGGTAAGAAAAGACGTAGCTTAGCAAGCTAACCGTTAGCTACAACATATGAAGCGCATAAACATCGTAATAAAGAAGCCTAATTTAGTGTGCTACATTATTTGGAGTGTTTGAGACAGACATCATATAACATTTTTTATTATATTTTTATGAGGTTCCATTAGTGCCAAACATATGTTTGTGTGTGTATGTAGCGTGCTGTGTATATGTAAGTTGATGTGTTAAGTGAATCCATCTATTATACAATCTATTACTTGTTTAAAGCTAAATATGTTATAACAAGTATTAATTTATTAATCTATATATATATATGTGTGTGTGTGTGTGTGTGTGTGTGTGTGTGTGTGCTAAAAACAGTTTTGTCCATTTTAGATCTCACTGTGTGTTGAAAAAATAAATGTTGGCTTATTTCTGCAGAAGTGCAGCTGGTAAAGGTTTTTGTAACCATGTAGTTGCACTTTTTTTTTACCAGACTGCGCACTACTCCCAACTCCAGCTGCCAACTGGTCCTCCTGTACTGGACTGCACAAGAGATTTACAAAGATGACACAGACAAAGAACACAGGTAAAAAAAATAAAATAAGAGTGGAACACATTCTTTTCTGTTACATTATTTAGTATATGATGGTTATGATTCTCATAACAATAATTGTAATAACTTTCCCACCTGTATATTATTAGTGCCATGTGAAATTTGTCATAATCTCAATAT